ATCAAGCAGCTCAAATCAAGATGTTCAAGGAATACCTTCAAGGAAGGAGAAAAAACACACAGAAAAACAGCAAAAACCGATAGAAACAATAAAGCACACTTTGACATTGGGTTTTCAATTAACTCAGTTCCGAGGTCGAAAATGGCGATGGAACAGAAAGGTGGTAGAGTCCGCGGAAAAATATTGTTGAACAAAAGGTTTGTGCACATCTGCAGCTCACGAGAACGGCGCATCGGAAAGAGACGCGGCAGAAAAAGGTTTACGGGAGGTATCATGGACAACCACCATAAATCAAATCGAAAGTGGAACAGCGTGGTCAACAGTTGCTCAGCAGGTACACCAGGTTGATCGGACCTGGCTTCCACTATCAGGTATAGCTTCGTTGGCATGCGTTTGCGTGATAGCCGCATGCCCCCCTGCGTGTTGAAAAATTCTTCAAAACAGAGTGTGACACACACACACACACATATCCACTCCAAACCAAAATGACACCGCCCAACCACCGGTCCAGCTTTTGGCTCCTTTTTGGCCGCTCCACATCGACCGACCCGAAGGCCAACGCGCCGCTTCGCGCCCAAGCCACGGTCAGCGGCTCCGGCGGCGGTTGGATCTTGGTGATCGACTCCACGCCTTGCGCTGTCAGGCGGAAACAGGGAGCGGGGCGAAGAGTCCGACCCGGTAATTCTGGGACCTCAAGGCCGAGGTCGAGGAATCCGAGAAACCATCGAGGTTGCTGAGGTTTCAACCGGAATCCGAGGAAACCCAACAAAGGGGATATATCGGATCTTGTGAAACCTTGGTCCACAATTTCATGGCAGTCATGAGTAATCTTGAAAAATGTCCACTCATTCATATAGAAATTGCGTGCAATAGTGTGTAGGATGCCATGCCAATGCTCACGATTGCTCACGATTGCTCACGCTTGCTTGGGGATTGTGTTTTCCTTTTGCGGTTCCCCATCAAATAGCCCCCTTCTTTTTGGGACCTCTTTCCTCAACAAATCCAAGGACTCTACAAAGTAGGACCCTGGACTTCCAGGGTCATTTTAAAGAAAACACACACACACACACTCAATCATGCATGGAATATGATAGTAATATATGATATGATAATTTGTATGATCATGTATGCCATTGTATGCCTAAATCTATAATCCATTGACCCACTAAATGCTAGACATGGTCAATATGCTAGACAATGTAGGTCAATAAATATGCTAGACATGGAGTGTCAGGGTAAGGGAATGTAATTAAGGGGTATGGTAATAACTACTGTAATAACTATATATATACATATAGCTCTAGAATTGATTGTTGAAATGCCTGCAGGAGATAGGGCTCATTCTCAAAACGTAACACAGGCATGCAGCCAGGGCCTCCGCACAACCTCCGCGCGCTCGGTCGAAAACATATCCATCGCTCAGTGCCCGGACCTTGCTCGCGGATCTCAGCATCACCTTGCTGATGCCAACGAGGTCGCGCGTGTCGACGCCAACGAGGTCTGGCTCTTCACTTTCGGAGAGTCATATTCCAAGCAGGGAGCGGTGCCAATATCCAACTTCTGGGGAAACTCCAGACTTCTGCATCTATCAAGTTCGCCACACCTGGTTGCCACCCGACCACCCCCGAAAAAACACCTTGGGATTTGAGCCAAAAGTCGGTCGGGATCTGGTGATATGTCCGTCACCTTCAGCACCCCCCACATCTATCCCAAACACTCCATGGGACTGCCATATATGCTTACATTGGGGTGGTGCCAGGGGGGTCAATTGATGGGCATATATGGCAGTCCCATGGAGTGTTTGGGTAGTCTTCACCGTGGCCTGTCGCGAGGTCCGACCCCCTGGGGCGCCCGGGCCATTCAGCAGCCTCGGTGAGAGCGAAGGAGGTCAAGGAGAGCTACAGTCCCGAAAACTCACATGGAAGTGGAACAAACAGACACAAACAAAAACAGTTTCGTTTTTTCAATTTATTTCTGGTTGTTCTTCTTCTCGGAAGTGGAGAATGGCCGCGACAGGAAGACCATGAAATCCACTACAAACAGGTGGTGCCATCCACTTCCATGTTAGTTCCAGGGAGAGCTACAGTTAAGGAAGTCACCGGCGATTCGGCAATGCGGTAACATGCAGTGCAATAGCTCCCCCCCTCCTCAACTCGGCTCCCACTGATGGATGCGACCTGATGAGATGGATGGAGAACCAATGCGCCTGTGGAGAAGAAATCCAAAGAATAGGAATGCCCTAGTAGCAAGGACGCTACGAACGGGGCGACCCTGGCATCGCGACTCGAGTTCGGAGCGATCGGACGCTACGAGGGCCGGGGCGACCCTGGCCTTACTACGAACGGAGCAAGTAGATAGTAACATAAGAAGCGACGTTCGTAGCAAGGGCATCGCTATTCTGCCTCCTGGCTCCGTTCGTCGCGGGATAGCTCGCCTGAAGAGGCGACTTCCTTCCGATCCAACCCGATGCCTTCATCTCCACTCCCAGATGCCTTTAACCATGGAGTATCCTACGATCTGCCCTTTTTTTCTGCCGATGAGAAAGAACAGCAGGTTTTCCAACCAGCCCAGGAGCTAGACAGCTAGGCAAATGTTCTGGCCATGCAGTTTTCGGCCTTCCTCTTCTTTCAAAAACGTGGGGAGCTCTGAGATCCTTTTCAGGTCGATCAAATAAAAACCACGACCACACGCACCCCGGTTGCGGAGCGCTCTCATTCCATGGTACCTGTTTCGGCCTTCCCACTGTTTCGTTCGTGTCCAAGCAACTGCTTTTCCAACAGCTGAACAGTGGCGGGCACCGGCCTCAAGCCACATCACAAAAAACGGGCTGCGAGACCCCAAAGCCATGTACTAGTTGATGTTCCTGCAGGCATGTTGCTTGCTACGCCACCAAAAAAGACTAGAGAGACGTTCCTACCCCAAAAAGAAAGACCACTTGGGGACTGAAAGAAATGCCTGTCGCTTGGGAGGAGCTGTGGCTTTGGGCCTTTGGGCTGGTCCTGAAAATTCCAGAACTTCAAGGGATCAGGAACATCTTAATTAGGTCCTAGGTGAGGCGTTCCGCTTCCCTTCTGGCCCAAAATGGCACAAATTATCAATACTTGACGTACAGCGGCACTGATTGAACATTCTCATGACGGTCCTAACGTTCTTCCCTGCCCTTCCTTTGGCCCCGTTTACTGGCTCACTATCTGTGGCAAGTGCTTCAACAACCTCATGAAGTGAGCGCAAAACCTCCCTGGAGATGTAAAAGACAATCTGCTATTAAGCTATTATAGTCTGTTCTTTTCATCAACACCCAGTAAAATCCCAGTTATGGAGATGTAACTGTACGTTCTGGATCAACAGCCTCATAGGATTCCGTATCATCCACACTTAATAGATGTTTATAGGGTCATGTCCCATGTTCTTATCACGTATAGTTATACTTTGAAGGGTCGTGCCTAGTCTATAGGCTAGTGCCAGCGACGTGGCTCGTCCCTCCAAGCTGCTTCACCGCAGCAATCCGCGCCGCCAACTGCGCGTTCCGGTCCGCCATCGGCCGTGGGCCGCGGGAACCGGTTCGCGCGCGGCCGGTGGCTGGGGGCAGGCTCCCTCTTGGGCTGGGGAAGGGGCTGGGGTGGTTGGGGTGGATGGACTGGATGCTTTTGAAGTATAAATTGAACAAGGTTAAGCTGCTAAATGCTAGGAAGAAACCCGAAAGGTTTGGGGTGAATCTAGAGTGTAATTCAAAAAAACGGCGGAGTATGTTCCGCAGATTTCATGGAGCTAGATGCTCTTGGGTGATGAACTGCAAAAAAAAGGAGTCTGCAGGACGTGGCTCGTTCATCCGACATCTTTGTGCGTTTTGGAACTGTCACCTACGTGGAGTCTTTCTCAAATCACATCTTTCGGCTTGGGATGCTGCGATTTCCATCACGTTTTCCTGAATCAAGTTTCCTCGAGCTGTTGTAACTCGCGAGAAGCGAGCTTATGGCTCTCTTCATGATGCTTTGAGAGGCAGGGCTCAAAAAGAGGTAACTTGTAGATGCTGCAACTGGACAGGACCAGTTAGGGCGCACCCGGAATGCTGGCACAGCACCCGGCGATGTGTTCCGGCGATATTCCTTGTAAGTGGTGAAGAATTGCTGCTTGAAAAAGGAAGAAAAGATAATTGAAAAGCAAAAAAATGCAAAAAACAACCCGTACCGATGGTGGAGGGACTCCGATGAACATCGATGAACGATTTTCAAGGGACTCCACTTGGGCATTTTTTGGGGTTTGGGCCTCCTCGGTGCAAACACAATACCCAAAAGACCCTAAAGAACAACGTTGGGAATCGAGGTTTTTCATGTGTATGATGCTGGAAAGGTATAAGGTTTCCTTTCAGAAATTGGATCGCCTCAGACCGCACCATTTCACCACTTCTGCGCAGCTGCCATGGCGTCGGTCTTTTTTTTCTCTCCAGCAGCCCTCCTGTACAGCGGCATGTGGAGGTGACGATGGTCCTGGTGACGATGCTCCACGTGTTTTCGGTCCAACACGGTCCCAAACAGCGGCAAACATCAACGTCCAAGCCGTCGGAGTACTACAACTGTTGGTTCCAAGGAGTACTACAACTTTGATCAGCCGATTCATCAGCTCACAACGTCGTTGGTTTGGTTTTTCCCGGTTTCTGAATGTTTCTGGATTCTGGTGGTATGTGAACCCCTCACTAAAAAAAAGGCCCGACATGAAGCAGTTTTACCAAACGAGTCAATCAAAAGTCTACGTTATTAATAGAATGTCCAGCTTGCATCTTCTTCTTGCTACAGTATTCCCTTTGTTCTCTTCTTGCTCTCTCCCTGCTCTTCTCCGTCGTATCTATGTCTATGTTTCCCCTTGCAAACTCCTCACCCTGGCCCTTTCATATCTTTCATCCACTTTCAACACCTTCGCCACTACGTTCGCCCTAGTCCGTTTCACGCCCTATTCCAAAACCCCTTCGCTTCACCGTGCCACACCGTGCCACACAGCCACGCCTAGGTCGGAGTGAACTGCTCCGTCTGCAAGGCTTCCTACGGGTCGTGACGGAGCGAAGCGAGACATCGACAGGAGCAGCTTGATTGGGCGCGTTGAGGTCACTCGGTTTGTTCAGACGAAGCGTTGTTCAGCAAACAAAAGTTGGAAGAGAATGGATTCATGGATGCATTCCTGGCACCCACCCCAATCACCCGACCGAACTGGAGTTAATCCCAGACCTGCAATTGGAGGGTGTTGATTGGAGATGCCAAACAAAATCACACGCCACGTCTTGGCTTCAAGGTCGACCCCATCGTTCGATTTCGTGTATTCCATGTTCCATGTATACAAGTGGTTTCGGAGCTACACTCAGTTTGGAGAATCACTAAGATTTAATACCCATCGTTGCGGCATGGGTACTGCTTTCCAATCCCACTGCGCCTTCCTCCGATTTTCTCCGGGCCAGTGGGCAACACTCCGAGGGTTTCACCACCACACGTCAAACAGCTCATCACCTGAACACCAACGAAACACACCGAAAGGTTGCCTGACTCTTATTTCACACAAAGCCCTCTTTCCATTCTTTCAGACAGACCAACCCCCCAAAAAACATTCTTTGAATCATCCCAAGTCCCAAGTATATGGTTTTGTTTCACAGTTTTCCTGGATTTTTTAAGCTCGCTCCATAACATATTCCAAAAACATCCAAAAACTTCGCCACCTTCTGTTTCTCTTTCCCTTCACCTTCCTTCACTCGCTGGCACCACGCTCCGACCACCCCAACCAACGCGCCATCGCTGTTCGCTCATCCGCCCGCCGTGCACCTGGAGCTTCGCGAAGAAATCGCGCACCACTGAGGTGAGGCTGATCCTCTAGAGTGTGGAGCCGTTGAAGCTTGAAGGGCGCCACGGGCCGGTTCATGCGGTCGGTTCATGCCATTTGGGAAAGCGCTCGTGTAGAGAAATTTGCCAAACTTGGGATTGATGTCTGGTCTTGCTTCGCGGGTCTTGCCCACAAGTGGGGGCTCAAGCTAGCCGCCCCAAAAGAACTCCATTGGTTGTGGTTTATACGCCATCCACGTCACCCTATCAAGCTGAGTTTTTGGTTCTTTGTGGACGACGAACATCTCTGTCATCGCAGAAACACGCATGATCACATCATAGGACATGGACCCTGTTAAACATTCCACTGGCAAGTTTGCTGGGTTCACTGCGTGTGCGGGGGGCGTTTGTCACTGGTCTTAAAGGTTTGTTGCATCTTGGAATCGTTGGATGTGTTGCTGCCCAGCTGCACACGAGTTCGCAGGTCGTAGAAGGGTTGAAAGGAGATCACCTGCCGGCGGCGGTGCTGTTGGCCAACCCATGGTAAACAGTGAAAAAGACACTACAATCACAACCTACTGTATTGAACGTCGTATTGGTACACATTGTGGAGTGGAAGGGTATGCAATCAAACGAATATACACACGAATACCCACTAGTGCTAGCTGCTAGCAAGCCGGACAAAAGTTTGATGATAATAGGCAATATATGGTCTTTGCAAGAGACAAAAACTGATTGCTAAGTCAGGTGCCATCTGCCCAGCCCAAAAAGACATTTGACCCCACGACATGAAACCACTAGTGAACTAAGTCCCAGAGCCTATGCTCTGTGGGAATCAGCGAGGCTCCAAAAATCCCGGCGGGCTGTTGACAGCCCCTCGCGGCCTCCTCTCCCATGAAGGACCCCCAGGAGGTATTCTCCTCAGATTGGATTGAGCTGAGATGACCTGCCGTGCTACACCTGTGGCATGACAAGCTTTCAACCACGCTACTGCCGAAGTCTGAAGTCCTTCGACGGCGTTGCCACTGCCCACCGGAAAATGAGTCATCCACAGTCATCCACCAGCAATCGTGCAATAAAAGCATTCAACTTCGTCCAGCCCATTGTCCAGTGATGCGGTTTACGGGAATCTGTGCAACCAACAAGTAGCACGTAATACATGCCAAGGGCTTTCTTCGTCAGCGACAGCGGTGCAGACAGTGCAGAGCGAGTTGCTCACCAACCAGGCATGGCAAGTGAGGTCCAATGAGATATGTTTGAAGACTACGTGTGAAAGCCCGAGCAGCAATGTGGAGCTGGCATTAGGTAGTTCACAGCTCAGCACTCGATCCGCTCAGCACTCGACCCCGTTCTGTCATGCTTTGTTCAAGAATTTGGCACCAAACCAATGGTCTAAGTGAGCTGTTCATTTCTGGACGAGTAGCTTCAACAATCCAAACTCAAGTATGCTAACGTCACACACAGTAACAACTCATCCAGCGGCCCAGGGGCAGCTTGATTGGGTTGCTTCTTAGAAGGTCTTATTTTTGAGTGACTTGGTCTCCCCCCCTCCCTCCATGGCTTCAAGCATTTTGGTGGTTGCGATCTCAAAGCCGAACCAGCGTTCACCGACCAACGGTTGGACCAACCCCGTCCCCGGCGTGGTGAATGTGTTTCTTCCCGTTGGTTGCTCTCGGAGTGCCACGGCTTTTTTTAGGCCAAGCTTGAAAGGGTTCAGTCTAGTCAAGCTCGAACCTGAATCCCGGCGGGCTGTTGACATCCCCTCGCAGCCTCCTCTCCCATGAAGGACCCCCAGGAGGTATTCTCCTCAGATTGGATTGAGCTGAGATGACCTGCCGTGCTACACCTGTGGCATGACAAGCTTTCAACCACGCTACTGCCGAAGTCTGAAGTCCTTCGACGGCGTTGCCACTGCCCACCGGAAAATGGGTCATCCACAGTCATCCACCAGCAGTCGTGCAATAAAAGCATTCAACTTCGTCCAGCCCATTGTCCAGTGATGCGGTTTACGGGAATCTGCGCCAAACCAGCAAGTAGTATGGGCTAGATTCCTATTTCTTCTGCAATGCGGAAGGAATTTGTCACGAGGGATGGCAATTGAGGTCCAATGAGATATGTTTGAAGATTCCGTGTGAAAGCCCGAATTCAAGAATTGGGCGCCAAACCGGTCTAAGTGAGAACAACTCATGTCTGGACGAGAGGTGGACAGTCTGGGCAAATGCATGTTTTTGTGTCTAAAGCAGCCCCGTCCCACGAGCGCCCGACATGAATTGGGTGGTCCCCCGTCCCACCAGACCGTCCCGGCGTGAAATTCTTCTGCTCTCGGAGTGCCACAGATGTTTTGACCAATTGGAAGGGTTCAGTCGTTCGTCAAGCTCGAACCTGAGTGATGATTGAAAAGTGACCTGAGCGACCTCGATCACCCACACCAAACAAAGTTAAAGAGATCATGCATCTATCTTTTCCATGCTTTTTCCAATCAAAGAACGGTTTTCAGCCATGTCATGGGTGGGGCGAGGTCGTGATGTGGCGGGAGGGTTCAACATGGTTCAATCGGGGAGGACATCTGTCCAAGAAATGAGGTGAACATTTCAGAAACCTGGGGATTTCTCGAAGGGAACTGAACGTTCACAGCTGAGAAGAACCTCTTTGTGCTCGACTTGATCATCCGCTGCATCCCAGGGCCCGGTTCTTCGTCTCAAGTTATCAGCAGCCAAGAAAAAAAAACATGGAACACCAAGCAGACCTTCATCAGACCTTCATCTTGCGAAGTATAGCTGCAAGGCTTGTGAACCCATTTATCACGGCACAAGCCTTTTCTGCTGTCATATGCTGTCATGCGCTGTCACCGCTCTGCCTGGAGCGACGTCGCCGTCTACGACCGAACCGAAGGACCCCGACGGAAAAAGAGGTCGGGCGGTCGAACTGCCACCCCAGCCACTTCAGCCACTTCCCCAAGTCCAGTTGCCACTTGCCTATATATATATATAGTATACACATACCTAACCTGAATGACCTCTATTTTGGACCACCAAACACCCAAAATATGGCCTTTTCCTATCAAAGCAGGGGTCAGTTGGGTTCCAGGTAGGGATTCAAACCGAACCATTGACACCACGTCAGGAACGGTCGCTCCAATCGCTTCCTTGGCACCATGAGGTCGCTCAAACGCTCGAGGGTTCCTTCCAACTGGGCCTGAAAGCGGTCGCGGTGGAGCAGCGCGAGCTGGTCGCGCAGATCTCCCAGACGGTCGTGGGAGATCGGCGCGAGTGGGAACGGACGGTGGATGACGTTGTTTCGAGGTGAAGAAGGGATGAGGAACGATATGGAACGATGGGTGCTGTGTTCTGGAACGGGCTGAGGGGATTTAATTTCAATGAGCCGCGAAGATGTTGAAAGGTAACGTGAAGAAAGTGAACTCTATACCCCCTTGTGGTTCCAACTGCTTCACCTTTTCCCATGAATGGAATCAACCAACGGAGTGTCACAGTGTCACTGGAATGACGAAGCAAACTGAAGACTTCCCACTTCCAGCACAGCTCCAACGGTCACGGCGGAAAAAGAAGGACTTGGAAAGTCTGGCCATGCAAACCTTTTTGTAAGCCAGGCAAACCACCGGTGAAAGCTGTGCTGGACTTGACATGACTCTACACCCAGGTTGTGAAGGACATGCGCATCAAGTGTGAAGCGAATGGCCCATCGGTTTATACAAACAGATCAACGTCATCCACCTCCTCACTGAGAATGAACATAAATGGCTACATCCTAATAGTACAATGAAGAAGTACAACGACGACAACAACCACAAGCACAACGACTACAACTATACGGCGACAACTACAACTACTACTACCACGTCCACATTACTGTAGTGAACTACTGCCTATCCTGTATACTGCCTACTGCAACTGTGATGCTATAGGCCTAATTTGTACCTTAGAAACACCTCGCCTCGAGGTTTATCGTCGAAGCCTCTCCCTCCATCGACCCGGCACCATCGACGCCTGATGAAACTCGAAGAGCTTCTTCTTGGCCTCGTCACAGCGCATGAAGTAGCCTGGTGACGTTCGTCGCGCATGTTTGTTTCGTCCAACGGGAAGGGGCGGTGAACCGGGGAACCGCCGCGTGGCCCAAGCAGAGACCGAGTGGGGAGTGGTGTGACCCAAGGGGCGAGCAGGGTGAAGGAAACACCCGACCGCAGAGCTGAAGATGCTGGAGAAGCAACGATTCTTTCAACGATCTTCAGCGGCGGGTATGAGAGGACGTGCATGGTCTTGTGTTGGTCGCATGGTTTGCGGAAGAACCTCACCTGACGCCCTTCTTCCCGCGGCTGTTCTTCCCACCTCCACGACCCCCAGGTCGGCTTGTTCCACCAAGCGGCCGTGGGCATAGGTCCACTTGAGGAACCGCCTGGCACTGTGATCGATAGTCCGGCTTCAGGGGAGCGGAAGTCAGAAGTTCCAGCGGCCACAAGATGGAGGACGTACACGTGTACAAATCCGCCCCACCAAAAAAGAATGAACAAGATTCCACATGTCAAGATGGTTTAAATTGTTTTAAGGCTGTAGTTGTATAGGTAAATACTATAAAGTATCGGTCATGATGTTTCAGTCCAATGAATAATTATCTATCATGAATCTATAGGAACCCGGAATTCATCTTGAGGAGTCACACCACGTTGAGCCTGCTGTGGCGGATCTGCTGGCAGGCCTGTTCCATGAAAGCCACATCGCTGACCTGGGCGGTGCTCCTTGGGGCTGGAATGTGTGCCTACATTGAGCTCTGAAAAAAAAAGAGTCAAGGTAGACACTCCTGAGTGACTAACATATACGTCATCCATGGCATAGGTCCCGGCAGGAAGACGACTGAACCCGTTTTGAACGGTGCCATCCACGTAACCATATCTTCCATGTTAGTGGGGTCCGAGGTTGGCATTCCGCGACACTGATCCCTGAAAGTGCCAACTGGCTCGTGAATTCCTTGGAATGAGGCTGAAATTCGAAGGACTAGCAAGTGGAAGAACGTATCCCTCCCATCTGCATTTCAGCCGTTATACTTGGCTCTTTGTGTCCCTCCATCTGAAATCCAGTCTAAATCTGTATCTGTATACTGTAGAACCCATGTTCTCAAATACTTGGTTCTCCCTTCTGCTCATTGCTCCTCAAAACACCCTCCCTTCGCCCTTCGCCCTCTCCCCTCCATTCACCCGAAGGAACCTCACCACCCAAAGGTCTATGTCGCCCCCGCCACGCGTTTCCGCCCGCCGGAACCCACCCACCCACCCGTTCTCACCACCACCACAATTAGCCAAAGCCAAAGCGCGGTCCGCTTCAGCTTCGTGGTGAAAAAAAAACGAGCAAACGAGCAAAACCGAAGCCGACCATCGGACGCAGCCGACCGCCCCCTTTCTTGCGAGAACCGGACGGATCTCCTGGACCCGAGGGACAGAAGGTCCAAGCGGACGCGGCGGAGGGGGGGGCGCCCCGTAAGACACGGGTCGCCGTGCTCCAAGCGGGAACCAAAATGAACCACTGGGCTCCAAGAAGGTATCGATGAAGGAAAAAGCTGCTAGATCAAGGATCAAGGATCAAAGGTCTTTGGGGGTCTTAGATGAAAGAGGTTCCAACTTGGAACGTTGATGAACGTTGGACATTTTGCCAAACACGTTTGGTCTAAGTGCCCCATTGGGGCGTTCTCACTCCTGGCGTTCAAACACAAAGAGACTCGGTCCACCTCAAACGCCAAACCTCTTGACATATAATATATATCATCTTGACTCTTCGAAGAACTGTGGCTTGCCCCACTTCGTTTGTACCCCGAATCTTGCTCAGACTGACTCCACTCCGAGCACTCTGAAGCTGAAGCAGCTCCCTCTCCGCGCAGCTCCGCGTCCCTTCCCCGAGGGCTTGGCCCTGGGCATCTTCGGCACCCGCTCTGCAGCAATGTGCAGAGCTTTGATAAAAGCTCGGATGGAACCCATCTGGGATGCTTCGGATGGTTCACACGTCCGGTGCCCCGCGTCGGATGCGGCAGGATGGCGGGGGGCAGTATAGATGTCATAGAGTGAAGGTTCTTTTGCGTCAGGGATGCCGTCACAAGCTCAGGTAAGCTCTCAGAGGCTTCATGTAGATGAACTCGCTCCCAACAGCTGATCTCGAAGATGACTTTCGACTCTCCAGTGGCTCACAGGACTTGTTTCCAAAACATTGACCAACATGCCGGGCACCAGGACCCCCTGTTTGAGGTTTCTATCGATAGCCCCGAAAAGAGGTTAAGGGGAGTCCATGAACCACCCCGACTGTGGGTCTCCACTGGTGCCCTGAATGTTGATACCGCCTTCAACCGGACACCGTTCGCCGCGCTTTTTTTGTTGTGGCTCTACATCTCCGCCATTCGAAGATCCAGGGTGAGAGGCCCGGTGTGAAAGTGTGAGATCCTTTTCTCAAGTCGCCTTCATGTTAGCCACAACGAACACGTATATTATATATGCATTTGAACACGTATTGCATTTCTTAAGAAAACAACGAGTTCACACACACATGCCACAAGCAAGTCACGTCTGTCGTCGCGATGTCGCGATGTCGCTCGACGAACGTCCACGTCCGTTCGAGGGGGCGGACGTTAGGAGGCGCCCGAGGACGAAACACCTGTTTCTTTATCACTCCATAACAACACCTGTTTTACACCATTATTTACGTATTTCCTTTTCTTTGTTGATCTGTTCTTCTCTGCCTTTGATTGGCCCAGCTCCGCTTAGCTTATGAACCCATTGGCACCTCATTGATTACCCCATCGATAGGTTCCATCAACTTCGCGGCCGATGGCCATGGCGAGTGGTGAAGAGCGGCAAATGGGTCAGATGGGCCCAGTAACCTCCAGGGCGACTTGAAGTCTAACCTTCAGAAACTCAGATGACATGTTTTACATGTAAAAAACAGGTCTGTTTGACCCCCTGGGGTCTAGTCTATGTAAGGTTGTTTCGTTGGTTCACCTCCGAATTCCTGTCAGAACAGCGAGGCTGTTCAACAAGGGCCCGGCTGCCGGAGACGACCAGCTGCCCGGGACTCTGTGAGACGGACGTTCGAACCATTGCTGGATATACCAGCACCTTCAAAGGGGTCTCCAATGGAATACCATATACTACTTGTGGATCTGCAGCCAGGACACCCCTTTGAAGGTCTAGGTTGTGTTCGTTGTAAAGAAGAACTCTTTCGGAACAAGTTGCTTTTTCAGCTCTGACTTCCACAATCGGAAGTATAAGACACCTGAAGCGATCCCCTAACTAGTCCCTGGTATTCCATACATGGAGTGTCTGGGGCTCCAATGTACTCATAAGACATTGTAATTTCACCTTCGTACCAAATGATTTTCGACCTTCTCATGCTCACATTGTGGGATCCTAAAAGATGGAAGAAAGCCAGCTTGGGCAATTCCCGAACACATGCTGCCGACGCTTCCTTCCCAATTCCATTACCATGACTAATGGACGTAACTCCACGGAGGCCCTCCTTGACTGCATTTGACTGCTGCTCGCCTCCGCTCCGTCTTTCGCCATCTTCACTCGGTGAAACCGACGCTCAAAACAAACCCTCTCCTGCGCCAGGGAGCCGCGCGCGACGCCGATCGGCGTCGAGCGGGACGCAGTCCGGCGGCAGAAGCCGAAGCCGGGGGCGGAGAGCGGATCCCATGGGGAAACAAAGGATCCCAAGCTGCAAGCCGTGTTTCTTCGATTGGACTGGCATTGGAAGTCAGAACCGTTACTTCGTGGGGACGCCGCAAGAATTCTCATGACTCATGTCCCTCCTCCATTGACCTGGACCAACAAAACATAGCAAAACCAAACTGGACGGCAGGTGGTGGCGTGTGATATTTCCTGATGATTCCCTTTCACAAGTCGTTCAGGGTCTTGCTAGTCCTGCCATCGGTGATTTAATGCGACAATTGCACATATATTTTCTGTATAAATAGTCCTGAAACCAGTCTACAAATACATGTCCAAAAACATAGTTCACATGGCAATCCATCCTAGCACTTAGGGGTTGTTGGTCAAAACAGAATGCTTGTTGGCCTGATATCACCCAACGAAGAGTTCATCAAAATCAAACGTTCCCATCATGGAAGTTGAACAAACCCGGTGGCAGCTGCGAAGGGAAAACTAGTCTGGTAGTGTCAATCTTTGCAATTTGTTAATTGCTGGTTGTTGAACACAGAAATCTCGTGAAATCTATGAAAGCATCAGCCAGATTGGTTGCTGCCTCAACCGATTGCTGTATGTGGCCCATCCACAATGTTTATTTGTCAATACGTCGCTGTGGTGTGGCTTGCAGCTTTGGAATGCCCCAGCCAGCGTCATCTACGATCTGCGGCAGCTCACCACTAGCTAAGCTGCCGCATCTGTGGCTCAACAATAATGGCCATACGACTGTGGATCATGGCACCAGGACACCCTACGTGGAAAGTCTTTCGCTCGCTACATGGTGGACTGGTCGGGCAAACATGGTGAAAAGAACCATCCCCATACTGTTTGGTGGATGTGCGTCTGACCATCCATGGGACAGGCCGGCCATTTACCAACATTCGGGTGGCTTCACAATTCAATGCATGTAGCCCATACCTGCATATTCATTGGACAAAAGTTGCGCACTTGATTTTGCAGGAGATTTCCGTGTACTCTCAAGAAATCTGTGCACATGAAAGCAAAATTCTGCAACTCAGTGTTGCGCATGGTCCTGTCTTCAAACACAAGACGGTCCTGCTTGTCATGGCGCCGGAGCCTGCGCTTCCAGCTCAATTTCATCTCCCATTTCAGTTTGATACGGATCCGCTCTAGCACTCTGTGGCTTGCAGTTCTTGAACTCACTCTCTGACATATCCTGCCAACATGTCCCACCACGGATTCATCAGCTTCGTAACTTTTGGCTATAGTGGACGGGGAAAGATGTGTATTGGACGGGAAAGACGTATAGGACGGGAAAGGACGTGTATTGGACGTGTATTTGACGGAATTTCCGGGTAGAACAAATTTATCACGTGGGGCTTTTCTTCAACAAATGAAGCCCTGCCTGTTTGACAAGCTCGATATAAGTCTCTTGAGGGAGCAGCGGACGCCATTCCTCTGGGATAGACACACCCTTCAACCCACAAAGGTATCTCACTACTTCTGACATAGCTGCATGTTTTCATTTGTCATTGTATGACAGGCTTTGGAAGTGGGAAAATGCCACCCAATACAGCCAAAATGGCTACAATCAGAAAACATGCATTTTAATTGACTGTTGTGTTGTTTTTCCTGAAAGATGTGTAGTGCACAGGAAATTCTGATTGCACCATTATGTTTTGATCATTTGAGGTTTGCAGGTATACATGGACGGCCTGGGATTGCCATACTGTTTGGTGGATGTCCTAATGGATGTGCGTCTGCTTGGTTGGTTTTTGGAGCTGAGCCTTAAAACAGCGCTTGCACTCACTCGCCTGGCAAGATGGGTAAGAGGACGGTGCACTTAGTTGATGTTTTCCTGACCCAGATTGAAGACAACCAAAAAAACAAACCCATGGAGATTGAATCTATAGGTATATACTAAACACCTGGGACAGTTTAGTTCTACGTAGCACGTGCAGAACTTTCCGGACGCTTTTAAAGCATCCGTTTTCCGAGCGCCAGCTTGTACCAGCGCCAAGTGAACGAAGGGTATATAAAACGGGATATATTGGGTCTATCCTATTACCAGGGCCCAGTGGATGATGACAATTAGCAAAGGCCTTGTTGAAAAATACAGTTTACTAACTGTTACAGGTCAGAACGGATAGATCCAAGGTATGTGGCGTGTCACCCAACTTCCCGAGGTGGATTAGCTCCATGGTGCGCAGAACAAACGCAGAAGCCGCTGGTGCGACCAGAGAGCAGCTGGGAGTTGTTTCAGATTTTCTTACAGCTCATCTCACTCAACATTCCAAATACATGAAAAATACCATTCCCCTCCTTCCTTCTGATCCGCAAGCAAGCCATGCACTTGAAGACTCCTGTGGTACCCATTCAACTGGCGGGGTTCTACGAAGGCAGAACCAAAAACACCTGCATTGCTCAACGGAGTTCTGCGCAAATTAAATGCATGGAGAATTTAACAATTTAGTAAGTAATCCAATGTAATCCATTTGTCTTTATGTCTGATACATCAACGAACTGGTTGGTCCGGTTTGACATTTCATGTCATGCAGCGCACACGAATTCCGTTGGTCTTTTGCAGTGATTGAGCTGATGCGGGGCTGGGGAAACCTTCCCCACCACACATTTTGGGACGAAAACATGAACGTCAACACCTTTGGGTGGATGTTCATCTTACTTTACGGCTTCATCAACCGCAAACCATGGGATTTTGATCGCGAACCATGGGAGACAGTATGTGTTCCTCCGGCAGCACGGCACGTCCGCCTGAAAATCACGTCAACCATGTCCGGGGAGGCACGTCCGTCTGGACCACACGTCCGTCTTCTTCATCTCCCAGATGGACTTCTGGAAGGACTCCTAGGGATCGGACCGTGGATCGACATGGAGTGGACGTTCACCACATCCGAACTGAAGAGGACGGATGGAGCTGGGTGGCTGAGAAGAGTCTTGCTGAGCGAAAGAGCTTGTCAGTCAGGGTCCATGTGGTGGGAAGGATTCTGCATTTTGTGTGGTTCCACCAGATCGGTTTTGCCGGTGTTAGTCATTCGTCGAATTTGCAGCTAGCATTACCTAGCAAGTTTGGAGTTGCAAGAACTGGCGAGGAGTAATCTCAGCTAATGGTCAACCTCCTGCACCTGATGCTGACATGTGCTGAGTTTGGCTTAGCTTGCGGCAAGTGACCGCTAGTGAGATTGGGCTTGCTGGTGGCTGCTCTCTGCTCTGACTGCTTGCTTCGTTGGGCTCGTTTCCTTTGGTTGCTTTGCGCAGAAGTGGCTCCCCAGCCGCTCCCCAGCGCCGCTCCGCCGCTCCGCCAAAAACCAAGTCACTTCTCTGGTGCCACCCTCGAAGGCCAAAGCCAACTGCGCCAAGAGACCTGATGGAAGCACAGAAGGTACTGCACCCATGATTATTGGCTTCCCACGTGTTTCCCAAAGAATACATCGCGTAATTCAACACATGGTAATTAATGTTAAATGGATGTTGTCCAAAAAACAATGCTTCTGTCAGTCTGTCCAAGTTGAGGATCAGTAGGGGATAAAAAGGATACAGGCATGTGGCATACAGGAAAACACTGGCAGCCGCACGAAGAATAGAACAAACCAACGAACGAAACATCGAACAGGAGGAACCACCCTGAGATCCGAGAGGAACCTGTCCTGCTGGGACCACCTGAGTCTGAGTCCAGTTCACAAGACTCAGTGGACCGCACTTTTTTTGACGGTTTCGTCCTTTTTGGCTTCACGACTGTTTCATCCGAATGAGTTTCATCGGTGAAAACGACTGTTTAACGGCGGAACTTCCATGAGAGCTCTACTTTGTGGGTATGTGTTACATTGTGTTACATTGTTTTACATTGTTTTCTCGCTCCTGTTCACGGTATGTCTGTGTTTGTGCATGTGTTCGCTACTGTTCATCCGGCTTTCCACGTGTTCAATTCAATCATAACGCGTTGTCTCACTATAGCTTTCAACTTCTTGCATGTCCTTATAATATCTTATAAACATCGGTTTCCTATTTCTTCCTTCTTACAGTTATTCAGTTGTCACCGCTTGAGGAGTCAGTCTGCAGGCACAACAAGTCAAACCAGCAAGCCAAGAAGAAAAAGAACCCAACAAACGCCAAATGGACAGCTGAAACCAACAACCCATTCTAAGATTAAGCATGAATCATGAAACATAACACTCCCTGGATGTAATCATGGTCACGTGGATTGCCTAGGTTCCAGGGATGACCATCAAATCCGACGGCCAAACAGGTGGTGCTTTTCCATGATCATTTCCGGGAGTGTGTCAACACCCGTGTCAACCACCCTCATGTCATGGCCCGCGGAACCACGAAACTAACGCCAGGAAAAAAGAAAAAAACATACATTAAGCAACACCCAAATTGGTTCTAAACCTCCAAACACTGCCTTTTGTGCCCTGCCGCCGGCGGACCCAGCGTTTGGGCACCAGCTTCAGTCCACGCTGGAGGATCGAGGGCCGTCCAGTACGGTGCTTCACAAAGTCCCGAAGACCTCGGGACTCGGAGCTCGCTCGGGACTGTCTTTCTCGCTCGGTCGGACGCGCGCGCCGCAAAGCGCGACGAAGCGACGAAAAGAAGAGAAACACCTGGAGCATGGGTTTGCTTTCTATTTCTGGCAGCTGTGGTTTCTTCAGATGTTTGAGGGATTGATGTGATTCGGTGAGGGATCTCTCAAAAGTTTGGAGGATTTTGCTTTCAAGGCTCGGGTGCAACGTTCACAGTTGAAGAAGCGGAGAGAGGGATGGAGAGGGATTTGGCGGTGTTGGAATTTCTCTCAATGGCTCGTGACAATCGATTTTAAAGATATTCATCCAATCACATCTAATAACAACCTAGAACATCTAGAACCTGAATGACCTCTATTTTGGACCAGCAACCACCCAAAATATGGCCGTTTCCTATCAAAACAGGGGTCAGTTGGGTTCCAGGAACAATACAAACAACGATGAGGAACACCGTGGCCCCCCGTGCACCTCGCTTTCTTGTTCGGACGGGGCACTGTGGCGATGGCCAAACCTCCAAAGATCGGAGAGGAGCTCCAACTCGTTGAGCGCTTCGATGTACTCGGCGGCATACCTCGCTGGGCGGACGCGGGGGGGCGTCGCGTGGAGGCCCTGTCAGGGTTTTTCGGGGACGCGACGGGTGGCGCCGCGACGTTGGGTGTTCGCCGGGGGCCGTGGGAGGCGTTCTGGTTCTTTGGGAGGTAGTGGTGAAAAGGTGGTGAGCCCCAAATAAAACACTGAGAAGGTGTGGTGACTTTGGACTCCCCATGAAGGCTGAAGTGACGGACCAAGGTTGAGATTCTTTCAAATCATGATGCGTGTAAAAAGCACGGTATTACTGTAAAGGATACTGTCAATCGCATTTCACCTGCATTGGATAGGAATCCACTAACCGGACTAACCTGGCACTTGTGGGACCTCACGAAGAGGCGATCTGTCCAATGAAACCGTGAAACGACCTGTCCCACGATGTCATTCTCCTAGTTGTTAATGGAAGCTTCTCCCAGCTGGCACTGCCTATCAAGGGTTGACGGAATCCGTGACCCACGCACCGTGTTCTTTTCGGAATCCCAGTTGGCTGTGGCCATTGCTGCATGCTGGCCGGGGCCACGCACGGCGCAACGTGGGGGCGGTGAGGCACCCAGCGATGACACCCGGATACCTTGCTTGACCTATACCTAGAAGACAAGCTCGGGAAGCTCAAGCTCGCTGGGTCCCATCTGAAGGAAGACATAAGCGCTCGTTCGTTCAGTCCCAAATGATGGGTTTGGGTTCTGAGACGCCCAAGAGATGGTGCCCATGACGCATGACCCATGAGCTGATGTTCAGGATGCCCATGAGCTTCATGTTGAAGTTCAGGCGAGCTCACAATACCTGGATTCCGAGACTGACTTTCGGGTTCCGAGCAGTCACAAAGACGACGACTCGCAAACTCGCAGACGCTGTACCGCGGGTGCCGTGGGTCATAGGAATGGGGGACCCGGGTTTTTCCGACCAAACATCAACAACAGGATCATCCTGTCTGGGTGTCCAATTGATTATCCCTACCCTACTTGCAGGTCTCCAGACAGGGCACCCATTGGAAGTGCTCGGTAGCCTACTAGGCTGACTAGGCATGTCAACCTGCGAGGATTTAGAGCTCTGCGTGCCATGACCCACAGCCATCTCGCGAAGGAGGACGGTGTCCGCAAGATCTTCTGCAGTTAGTCTGAACTTTCTTGGGGTGGTATAGCACTGGCTGAGAAAGACCAGAGACAAAGAACATAAGAAGAGCAACATAGACCTTCGGACAACATGGTCTGACCATCCGAATCTGAGGGGGTTCCCAAAAATACCGCCAGTAGGCGTAGCCCACCTACAACTTGAGAAAAGGGAGTCAAACCAAAGGAAGCCTTTTCTCACGCTTACTTCATTTCCACAGATCCATCAACTAACTATGCCGACGGTTCGTACCTTGCACTAATTAAGACATTGCTGCGGAGAGTACTGATTGCAAGTTGCCATTTTCAGACACACTTGCAATCAGCAGCAAGATGACAGTTCCAAACAATGTTCGAACGTGTAGCACCTTCACCTGTGATTGGTGAAATGTGTTCCTTCACGCGGCCCAGAGGCATCGTTCGAAATCGTCCACTTGGATGGCTGCAATCTTACCTGAAGGGCGATCGCCGGCCGCGAGTCTGCGGGCGCTCCGTGAAGAAAAGGCAAGGCAAAGGGCATGGTTCGATGGTAAATGTCAGTTGTGCAGTATAATGACCATGATTGACACTGCACACACCTGATACGTGAGTTTGTTCGAAAGAATATAATACACAAACAGATCAAAAATTAGGGCGTTCGCCCAGCATCATGGTGTTGAAGATAGTCATGCGAACCTTCGCCCGAGGCCCAGTCCTGCTAAAGATCTGGACTCCACCGACTCCACCATCTGATCCCGACATTCCCAAACCTCCACCGGCGAGGTGAAAAACAAAGACGGGCGGTTCCCTGCCGTTCCGGCGGTTTCCTGCCGCTTGGCCTGCCGTTTTGACAGCGGAAACCATCGAAGGGCCATATTACCCGTAGCATTGTAGCCTGATTTCTGGACGAATGTTCCCTTGGCAGGGTCTCCCACCGACTTGGCCTCTTCTCAAAATTCTATTGACATGATGCCTATTACGGTTGCTGCTTCCACCCCGACCTCTGACCTCGGATCTCCTCGCGCGACCGCGCGAACCCGCGCACCGCGCCATACAAATCGGTGTCGACACGTCCGTCCGACGTCGCAGACGAGAGGCTGAAGCTGGTGGAGACGAGATCACCCACGAAAGTCCATTCGGTCCAAAGCGTCATCTCCTCAGACACGGCGGACGCGCCCGGTTCGGTTGGGTTGGGTTGGCAGCCGGTTGGCAGCCGCAAGAACCGTTCAGCATGAAAAAGTTTGCCTACTCAAGAGGATCTCTGCTGACTTTCGAAGTGATGCACCCACCATGTAAACGTTTGAGGGAATCAATCTTGTTGGTGAAATGAGGAGGACAAGAACGCAACCAATGTCTATATGAATCAGACCAAAATGGAACATGGAAGGGGAGGAGTTTTTACGTACACATTGACTGATCAATTTACTTCAACATGTCTTCCCAGGCCATTGACATCAATTGACCAGAAGCCTGGTGCCATGGCCTTTTGTTGGTTCCTATCGGCCTCGCTGCTTGTTGAAGCCATGGTGCCCATGGAGATCTCACCACCCAACCGACCCAGGCCACGAACTCGTTCCGAACCCGGGCGCCCCCGCCGCGGCGGCGCCGGCGTTTTGAAGAAGCACCGTGGGTCGCTCCACTTGAGTGTAGCGCAAGGATCCTGCGAGGACGAAACGAACGCTGTTTCGCGACGGCCAAGTTCAGCGCGGTTTGTTTCGCGACGGCCCGGCCCTGGGACGAGACGAGGACCGATGGCTGGACCTTGTCTCCTCTCCAAGGTTCCAAAAATGCTTGGAGCTGGTATTGGACCTTGTTTTCCACTATATGTCTACACCACAAAAAGACACGTTGCCAACTTCAATTCCTATCAGTGAAGGCCAAGCACTCAAGTCACACTCCCGTGTGGATAACAAAATCCGCGGCGCAGCATCGTTGCGCACGCAATTCGGTGTAGCTCGCGCGTCTGCGCGCGTCTGCCTTGGAGGATGAAGAAGCAGGCTTCCGCCAAGCCACCAGCGCAGAACACGGTGTCATCCTCACCGAGACGCCAGTCGACCCTCAACATCGGAGCTGGACGAGTCGTGGCCACCGGATCCATAAATCCCAAACACCCATGGAACTTGAATGTGCCGCCTCATTAACTCCCCCAAAACATGTCCCTGATTCCTGAATGCAATGATGTCCTTTTGAATGTCCATTGTTCATCTGGCAAATGACCTCTATGAATCAACCTACGACGTTTTTGCTAAAAGGCCATCTATGTCATCCAGTTTGATAAAAGGCTCGATCTCAATGCCCCACAGATCTGTGGCTCTACCGAGCAGGCCTACTAGGCTAGTTGCTACTGGGCCAGCTGTCAATCCAGAGCCTCCCTATAGGAAAGGTAGATGGGCGTTGATTAGAATAGGGAGACCCCTCAGTTCAGTTCGACCTCGAAATTCAAAAACAAACTACATTGCCTGGAACTAACCTCTAAGTGGAAAATGGGTGCTTGGAAGACCCTTTTCCTCTGAAAACTGCAAACTAACGGTTTGCCACTTCCAAGTTAGTTCCAGGGAGTGATGTTGCTGTAAATCACATGCCTGGGAGCAGGTCTTTGAAGCGACAAATTGCCGTGATCCAGCCGACGACTTTGGTCAACTGTGCCATGAGAATCAAAGAAATTCCATCTCGTTGTCAGGACGGGTTGGTTGAAATGTAGATCTGGTCCATTGGGAGGCCGCTTGGGAGGCCTCCCCAATTCACCAACTCACATGCACCCCGAAGCCGACCTGGCAGCCTGGCGGGTGGGGCAACCGAACCCATCCGCCGACCGCGTCGCCGACGCGATCCACGAGCGTCCTCAGCCGCATCCACCACCACCACCGCCATAGAGATCTTCTGAAGCCTATCGGTGAGAGGTGGGACCAAACCCCAACGTGATACCGCTTGCTTGCTGCCTGGAACCTTCCCTATAGTACTCCAGGTGCCTCCCAAGAAGGTGGGATTTGAAGCGGTCATCAGGGTCAGTCTTGGAGTCCTTTGCCTTTGTCAACGTCATCCTGGAAGTCGAACATTCCTTGAATGTCTTGGCCCCCGCCAGGAACGCGACGGCTCAAGCCGTGCACATGTCACAACCCTCAAGTTCCGAACCAGGTGTCATTTTCTATATTCAGATGATGGTTTTTCCTTGTTACAAACTTTAGCACTCCCTTCCTCACCCCCACCACCAATTTCCGGCCGTCGTGCCAAACCAATCGAACCGAGAAGCACTTGTCCCTGCTGGGTACTCAACTCCTCCTGCTCGATGAGGCGCTTGAGGAACAAGACTCGATCCAAGACATGCCTCGATCGGCTCAAACGCTCTGCTCAAATGCCGGCGTTTTGTTGGGCAGTGCGAGACCCGCACTGCAAGTTCGCCGGGGAAAATGCCCTTCTTCACCGAGCCGAGACAAAGTCCTGTGGCCTCTTTGGCCGCGTCCTGAGTCCTGAGGGTTTATTGGGAACATCAGTGGGCTCTCTGACCGGCATAGTCGATCCAGTGCAAAAAGTGTGGTGGGGTTTCTGACCCGTTTGAAACTATGAATCAACCATCGCGAATCTGCGACCCGGGTCAAGGTGCTTGTAGCGCTCGTACTGGAGTTCGTTTTGAAGCTGTTGCGAAAGCAATGACAAAATCTGCGGATTGTCGCTGCCCATGGAATTCTTCCTCGGGAATTCACGCGTTACATCGCGCGGCCCCGCGGACAAAGAGAAGACCCAGGGGTTGCAACCACCGTGAGGGCCCACGATCATCTCAATCCCGAGCGCGGTCCCATTTTCATGCCTGAAAACCCTTGAATCCTTGATCAACCTGGAGTCTTAAAGTACCTCTAAAAGTGGGTACAAGTACCTGTCTGTATGGGGTCATGTCCCATTCTCACTGTAGAGGGTACATAGCTACAAGCAAACCACAGAACACAATCCTATTTCACCCCAACCTCTCTTTGACTAGCAGACTGCACAGCTGCACACATTGGCCATGTAAACATGTTCAGGAGTTTTGCAAGTTTGATAAAAACATGGTAAAGTTTTGCTTTGCAACCTTTCTTTGATCAGCAGATCGAACAAGTCGGCAACACATTGACGAAACATGTGCCAGTTACAAACTGTTCGAGATTGTTATATACTTGGCCGGCGGGACTTTGCTAAGTTTAGCTAAGTCTAACTTGGACTTATAAGTACTTAGTAAGTACTTAGTTTGGACTTAGTTCAGGGTAACTTAGCTTGGACTTAGGTTGGACTTAGCCTGGACTTAGCTTGGTCTTAGCTAAGACTTATAAGTCCGAGCTAAGTCGAAGCTAAGTGTTAGTTTTTTTTGATCAGCTTGAGCTAAGTCTAAAGCAATTTTTGAAAAGCAATGAAAACCGAAAGCTCGGTCTGGGAGTGCGCTGGTAGACTTTTCTCTCGCGCGAGCATCAACAGTGATCATCTGAGCATCAACAGGCATCAAACGTTTAACTCTATTTTTAATACATTGAAAAATATAGTCTTAGTTAATAACAGTATTTATATTATCATAGTTATTGTATCACAATTTAGCTAAACTTATGTTTAAGCAGTATATATTGTCAGAAAGAAGTTGTCTGACAAATTGTTGACATGTACTTTTAAACAAGATAATGTCAGACTGTTTCTGACATCTGTAAGAATTTTCTGACATTGGCCAGAATGTTTTTCTGACAAATTTCAGAAATAGTGTTTACTAGTTACACAAATATTTTCTGACATTTGTCAGAATTGTCTGACAATTTTTAGTTTAGATTTAGTTCTAAAAGGAAATATTGTCAGAATTTGTCTGACAAGTTGTTGTTTAAATTTACGTTTAAAAGGATATATTGTCAGAATCTTTTCTGAGATTTGTCAGAATATTTTCTGACATTTGTCAGATTTTTCTGACAATTGTGAACATATTTTTCTGACATTTGTCAAATTTCTTGATATTTGTCAGAATTTTTCTGACATTTGTTCGATATTTTGACATTTGTCAAACATATTGAAGACAAGTTCAGAATTTGTCTAAATAGAACTGGGATAATGTTTACAGTCTTTGGGATGAATGATTCAAAGACTTCAGGACGAAGACAATGTCAAAATTTTACAGTATATCATGTGACTGCTTGACGCATCGTATCTGCGCCAAGTACTCTGTAGGATACCGTAGAAGAAATCCACAAGCGGCCACGCCGCGGAATGTAACAAAGAATAATGGCGCGGCCGTACGCTGGCTGGTTGTCGGTTGGTGGCTGCGCTCGACGCATTTTGTGTTGATTTGCTTCAATTTTTTAGCTTCGACTTAGCTTTGGCTTAGCTTGGACTTAGCTTTGACTTAGCTTGGACTTATGAGTCTGAGCTAAGTCGAATCTAAGTCCAAGCTAAGTCTTAGCCCACTTAAACTTGACTTAGCTAAGTCAAACCTAACTACTTACTAACTCCTATAGGCTGAGCCAAGTCCAAGCTAAGTAAAACCTAACTTCTATAGAGGTTAGCAGACTTATAACGTTGGTTATAACTAGGTTAGATAAGGTAGATATAACCTAGGTTATAAGTCCACTTAGAGCAACCGCCGGCCAAATACGAGAATTGTACCTTGTTTATTTGCAAGCTCTCTTGGCCCAACAAACTGCACACATTTGCAAAACCACGTTTTGAACATGTGTAAAGATCCGCGCCGGTACAACTCTGCGCGCTGCGTTGGCCGAGGTTTCTAGGCGCGAGACCTGCCGCGTCGAAAGAAGGGATGTGAACCAAGATGCAGTTTTGTGGGTTCACTCCAGCCCGTTCCACTTGGGTCATCTTGTTCTCCAACTATTGTTTGCCTTGGTGAACCTGGTCTTTAACCATGGTTTCACTTGGATAATCTAACTCCAACCGGTTTTTTCAAGTACCCCTGCCTGGAGAAGTGGGGCAACCAACTGTGGCATGTGGTCCACTACCACAATGGATGGCAGAACTGGAGCCTTTGTATGATTAATTTTTTCCAAATTTCATTCCATCAGACCTTCAGTCAATCTTTAGGTGCCCCTGCTGCTTTAGGTCCCCAAGCCAATGTGGTCTGTATCTGGTGAATATATAAATACAAGAGGTCTTCAAAAGCACGACCAAAACAAAAGATGTATAGATACATAAAACAATCAGAAAGTTCCATTTGTTTGACAAACAAAAACGGTTTTGCACTTGATCAGGGGGGGCTTGCGTTTGATTAGGGCTTGGGTTTACTTCACCATCCGGTCCAGCCGTGCACAAAAAGCTCTCACAAAACAACCACCCATAGAGCAAGACAAGACACCGAGAAAACGAAGCGGCTGCATCAAAAGGCCTCCTCATCAAAAAGACTTGTGTAAGTTGTGTTGCCACCGAAGGCCTATAAAGGCCTCCACATCCCTTCCCCATGCCTTGGTCGCCCGCACTGAAGAATGGACATGAGAGGAAAACAAAACAACTCAAACAACCTTGCTCCAGAACAAGCCTGGGCGAAGGCTCAGATGCCATGGCTCCTCCCTCGCGCTTGGTGGCAGAAATGTATCCAAGATTATCCAAGATTGTTTAGGGTGGCCGTGGCAAAAGATCTCTGAGAGCAAAATCCTGGGTGGTTGAGTCGCTGAGTGGCTGAAAGTGTCTGAGTGGCTGAGTGGCTGACAGGAAGAAAAGCCTGAGTGGCTGACAGGAAGACAAGCCTGCGGGTGATGGGAAAAGCAACCTACTAAACAGTAGCTCGGCTGTGAACAAAGGAGCACACTATAATACATAACTGAGGGAAGTGTGTGGCCAGCGAGCAAGCCTGAGGTTGGCACCTGCACCAGGGTATGTTAGCCAACATACCCACACTTAGGCACGGAAAATGAAGAAGGATTAGAGTAGAATGTCTTGATGGAATAGCTGGTCTGTCGTTATTATAGCAAATCCGGGGAATAAATTTACCACCCGCTTTTGTGCGGTTTGGGCCGGAATATGCCGGAATTATGGGTAAACGCTTCTCTGCAAAGCATCAGATTAAGGGGCAAAAGGTGAAGGCAACTGTATGCTGAAGGCCTGCAGCATCAAAAACTGCTGTTCTTAACAGGAGGCGGTTGTGACGCGTCACCGAAGAAAGTGTCCGCAAACGCTGACATGGAATGCTGTTGTAGGGCTCGGTGTGTGTGTGTGACACCCTTGGAGTCACAGGGATTCCGTTGAATTTGTTTCCACTCTTAGACTTTTGCCTTGATTTGGAACCTTTACCGCACGGATCCTTTTGAACCTTTACCGCAGGGTGGCAGCAGGAACGAGAGTCTGCCATCAACGACGACACTCTCGATTTCTTGGGGGGTACTGGGACTGATCATCGCGTGGCACTCTTCTCATCTCTCATTGGGTCCTGGTTTTAACTAGTGGCAAACCGCAATCGAGTCAACACGCAATATCTTCAGTGTGTGTGCAGTAGCTACTTATGACCTGTGTAGGACGTATACATATATGTATACTAATACAAACACGCAGGCGGACTGCGCCTGCTTGGAGAAGTGGTAGGACATCGAGAGGAGGGCGATGAGAAGATCTGGGCGGCAGGGGTTTGGGGGAGGCGAGCGCTGTTTGGGGGGGCGATGTAAAATTACAGCAGCGCTAGAATAGAATGTGAGGCGGGTTACGAAGAGTGCACACCTTAGAGGGTAACGCGATCATTCCGACCCTTGACTGCTGAAGCCATGCGCGCCGAGAGCGGCCACGGTGCCTCAACACCGTCGCCGAGGATTGTCCAGGGAGCCAGTGGACACCTTCTTGGGCCGCACGGATGTGAACGGCGCGCTAGAGATCAAAAGCATGGCGGCCGTGAGGTCTGTTGCAACCAAGCAGCGATGCGCAAGACCTGGTAGGTCTCGCAAAATGCTTCGCTGCACCGTGCGGACACAAGGACGGTCTGATGGACAAGCGCCTGAGGCAGCAAAGGCACGGTGGGTTTTTCTGCAATGAAAATATAGTAGCCAACATGTGATCATAGCAGGAATCCAATGACAGTAAATAATGAGTCCAGGTAAACTCAAACGGCTCGCCCAGAAAAATGGCGTTGATCGAAAAGCCGGGATCGAATCATGATTTGCCAGCGCCTCTGTTCATGATTCGTTGCCCATTTTTTTAAGCTGCCCGCAAGATACTGCATTGTTGAAAAGGAGGGGTCGCATCATGATTTGCCAGTACCTCCGTTCATGATTCGTTGTCCTTTTTTTTCCTCCCCTTCCCTCCCCTCAATATCTGAAGATCTCTTGGGGCCGACGTGAGCCTTTGAACATGGCAGCCTTTCTGAATTGACGTTTCTTGTGAGATATAACTGCGATTTACATTTGTCTACGTTATGGCCTTCCAGGTTCAACCACAGCCTTTCATGAACGTGTGGAGCCAAGAAGGTGACGCATTTTGCGAGTGCCCCTGCAACATATAAACAAAGTCGCTCTAAAGTGTGTGTGTATATATTTTTTTCTGTTAGAGGGTGATCGTTAGCCAAAGGAGACAGACTTCAGTTTTTGCGTCGGATTTGAATCCAATAAAACATCTGTCCAGTTCTACAAGTAAGGATCAGGTACTACTAATACTTCTACTCTGGTGAGGGCAGTGTGTCGGTTGGGTGATCAGCAACTTCTGTTTCTGCATCTGACACTGCAAGAACCTCGGTGCCAGCCTGTTGGCTGGGCCAGT